ATTGGAAAAATACTTTTTATTCATTAGCCCTTCGATTTCATGCAACTTTGCTTTTAAACCCTCTCAAAACAATATACATTGTTAGTAAGTTACATAACTCGTGAAATTTCTTTCCAAAAAATGAAATTGTTTGAAATTTGACATGATCTTTCTTAAAAGTATGTAGTTTCAGAAAAAATAAAAATTTTAATTTTGATTTTTTATACTATTTCTAATAAAAATTTGTTATTTAATATAGTTACTCGCATTTGGACTCTGAATCGTTCACCTGCAAGGTGATTTTCATTTTGAGTATAAAAATACTATTTATTATCTGATAGTTTTTACATTTAATTTGCATAATCTCTAGAACTTCCTAAATATATATATCAAAAGTTTTTTTTTAGGTAAATTTTTGTATTTTGTTTTCCGTTTTCTGTACTATATTATTAACTCTAGCTATTATTATCAACATACAATGTAATGAAATGTTATGGCTTTCTAACTATGAGACAAGAGCCATTACAAATTCATCCAAGCTAGTCGTTACCATTCCCATGTGAACCAAACCTGTACTATGAGTGAAATTTATGATTACCTGTTCAGAACACAATGTTATACAATTTGTCATTTGATAGATGAAAAACCTTGCCTTTTTATTGGTTATAGGTAATATATAATTAAATGTAAGAGAGAACTATTAACAAATCCTGAAAGAGAGGATGTATCAGGTGGGTGTGGCAGGAGGGGTCTGATTTTGTATTTGACAGCTCTGTAACCAAACGAAATTGAAGGCTACAAAAATTATGGTTTGTCTGAGCAATGACGATTTTATATTGAGTAATTTATGTTTAATTTCGTAGCTATTGGAGGGTGTGGTGGATAAAGTAGAGAACAGAAGATACCTAGAGAAAATGTGTCATGTGTGTCACTAGGGGAATTTTTTTTAAATATTGCATTATAGAATTAAGAACATAACTTGTATACTATTGAAATATGGATTATTAGCTAAGATTTTATGCTATTCTAATTGGTATAACATAAACAAAAATTAGTTAAATAAAATTTTGAATGGAAGATTTTATAGCTTGTGTGGTCACATTTTTAAATGATGATTATGTTACTTTTTATTTTTCTGAACAGTGTGTCTACATCATCACTTGATGTACCATACAGCACAGCTGTGACACATTTACCAAATGGAGATATGCAGGATAGAACTGATGATAAATATTCAGTTCCAGAGATAACATCTAAGTAGGTTGCTCTGTTAAGTGTGATAGAATTACTTCCATCATTAATAAATAAATAGTTTATTTCTAAGTAAGTTGCTCTATTAAGTGTGATAGAATTACTTCCATCATTAATAAATAAATAGTTTATTTCTATGTAGGTTGCTCTGTTAAGTGTGATAGAATTACTTCCATCATTAATAAATAAATAGTTTATTTCTATGTAGATTGCTCTGTTAAGTGTGATATAATTACTTCCATCATTAATAAATAAATAGTTTATTTCAATGAATTTTTCAACTGATTGAGATTTTTTATTAGTGTTTGGGTACCAAGCACTTTTGAAATATCTTAAGTATCTTTCTTCCTCAAACAGATCTCCTGTAGAGCAGGAGTTGACACTCTCCTCAACCGAAATAATCAAAATCCTCAATCAGGAAGATCTTCCAGGAATCAAAGTTGTTACGGATTGGCTGATTTTAAACAGTGACATTATTGTGACGTTTGGAGAGGTGAATGTTATTTTTATAGTTGTACTATTGTGTATTAACTTAATATAACGTGTACTTTTAAGGTTGTGGTGACCAGTGTCACAGTTAGTAGCCTATACAGTAATCTAAGAGTAATTATTAATTAGTTACTCTTATGCTAATATGCTACCATTTTCAGGAAAGTCCCAAAGAGTTTACAGGAAAGCCACAGATGTAGGTAAATACCTCAACTGTAAATCCAACCACACTAACGATGTGAAGATAGGCATCATTGACTGTCTGAAAAGGAGGACAAAAACTGCATTCCTTGACTATGGATATCTGAAATACATGATAAGTGAACAGTATTCAGAAGCTGCACACACCAAACCACCTAAAATCTCAATGGAGAGGAAAAAACACCATTTATAGAATCCTCTGTGAACTCTTATATGTAAGAGAAACAAAAGTTGGAATTCAAGAACATTGTTGGCATACAAGACTCGCTGATACTGGTTGTTTACAATAGCCCATCATTTCAGTAAGTTGGAATGTGAACCACACAGAAAAATAAAGAAGTCTTCTAAATTCACGCTTAGTGAACGTAGCACAGAAGACAATTAAATAAGTTAGTTGGTTAAAATCATAATAATGAAAATCCAAGATGAGTTTTTAACACATCAATCTCTATATCAAGGAGACCCAGGATTGAATCCTGTCTATATATAAATAATCCATGTCAGGATTTTCCTGAAGATGGCAGCGGATTAGCAGGTAGATTTAGGTGATCATGTAGGCTACTAACTAAGACAACAGTCTATATAAAATTTGGTTACTTTGAACATATTTTTATGTAGCTTAAAAGTGTGTATTTTGTGATATGATCAAATAATGTATTTTGTACATCAGTTGAAATTTTTAAAAAATTATAATCCATTCAAATTCTTTTATCTTTGCATCTTCATTAGTGTTGAATTATTTTTTTGTGAAAAGCATGAAATAGTTATTTTTAAGTATTTTTTGTATGATTATCAATATGAGGTATTACTAGTTGATATTGTTTTTAATTTTCTAAACTTTGGCCAAACTAAATGTAGATTTAATACATTAACATTTGTCTATTTGGCTAGATTAGGTACAAAAAACAGTAGAGAAAAAATGTGTTTTTTCCATTTGGCTACATTAGGTACAAAAAACAGTAGAGAAAAAATGTGTTTTTTCCATTTGGCTACATTAGGTACAAAAAACAGTAGAGAAAAAATGTGTTTTTTCCATTTGGCTACATTAGGTACAAAAAACAGTAGAGAAAAAATGTGTTTTTCCATTTGGCTACATTAGGTACAGAAAGAGGAGAGGAATAGATGTGTCCCTATGGAAAAGTTGCATCTCATGAACCTGTTAGAATGAACTTAAAAGGAATCTTCAGCTCGTTGAAAGGCTGTGTTTGTCTTACATTTTTTCTGTTTAATGATACTGTCTTCTAGGTGTTTGTAATACATAAGATGGGGTTCTCAAGATTAATAAGTAAACATTTCTTTGCTTTATTTGATATCTCAGTAGCAGTTCCAACCAGTATATTAAATAAATAAATGTAAGGAGATGCAGCCTTAAATGAATTTAAAATACAAGTAAGGCATTAGACTCAGTCTTGTTTTTATACACTTTATCCACCGATTTTAGTTCTTCTCTGCTGATGTTGATTAGCTGTAAATCGGCTACATAGATAAGAGCTGTGACAGGCTCTCAGTAAATGACTATAGACGTCCTATAAACTGACATTTTAGCCATTTTCAGGTTATTATCAGCCATTAGTTTGAACAAGAGCCGACATGCCTGTATGATGTGTTATAACTTCAAGTTATTTAAACATATAATGTTTTTTCACAATTGATTAAAAGTCAGATTTTCCAAGTAGTTAGAGAACACATTGCTTCGTAGCCAGGAATGAGAGTAATAACTGGTGTAGATGCTTCTTGAATATACAACTATTTTTCTGCAGTAATAGACCTAAGATATTGGGAAGATCTTCATTGATCTTACTTGTAGCCTGCTGATTGTGGGCTTCACTTTACATGATAAACTGGGTGAGTACTTCAATTAATTCTTGGCAGATCTAGGCTTAAAATGATAAAGTTATGTTATATATATATATATATATGGGAGTGACATGCTTGACCTAACTTAGTGATTTTCATAACGATTTGAAAAGTACTACATTCTTGCCTTCTATATTGTTTTTGGTATATTCCTACTTTATTATTCACCAGTCATTCATAATATGGCCTCTCTTTTGTCAAAAACAATATTTTAGAAAAATTGAATACATTTGAAGACTTTAAAACTATCGTCATAGAGTTGTGAGTTTTACTTTATATTAGTGTATAGCCCGTCAGAAATGATGGGACAAATATTACCACCACCCCACTCTATAGTATACCATTACTTCACATTTTATAGCTAACTGAAATAAACAAATTTTGCTAAATCAAGCTTCATCAATAAATAGGCAGGAAAGTGCATTCAAAGCAATCAAATGTCAGTAAATTCCTTTGTGAGCCAATCAGAATTAAGATCATTCATGACGTGAATTCATGGTTTACTGGTAAAAATCTGTTAGATTAACAACTTCTAGTATATATAGAAAAGCTGTGTAAAATTAGTTTATTGGTTAGATGTGGTTGCATGTACCAACTGTGTAAGATAAGTTTCTTGGTTATCTCTGGCTGCATGTTTCCAACTGTGTAAGATAAGTTTCTTGGTTAGCTCTGGCTGCATGTTTCCAACTGTGTAAGATAAGTTTCTTGGTTAGCTGTGGTTGCATGTACCCAACTGTGTAAGATAAGTTTCTGGGTTAGCTGTGGTTGCATGTTCCCAACTGTGTAAGATAAGTTTCTTGGTTAGCTCTGGCTGCATGTATCCAACTGTGTAAGATAAGTTTCTTGGTTAGCTCTGGTTGCATGTACCCAACTGTGTAAGATAAGTTTCTGGGTTAGCTGTGGTTGCATGTTCCCAACTGTGTAAGATAAGTTTCTTGGTTAGCTGTGGTTGCATGTACCAACTGTGTAAGATAAGTTTATTGGTTATCTCTGGTTGCATGTACCCAACTGTATAAGATAAGTTTCTTGGTTAGCTCTGGCTGCATGTATCCAACTGTGTAAGATAAGTTTCTTGGTTAGCTGTGGTTGCACCGTACCCAACTGTGTAAGATAAGTTTCTTGTTAGCTCTGGCTGCATGTATCCAACTGTGTAAGATAAGTTTCTTGGTTAGCTGTGGTTGCACGTACCCAACTGTGTAAGATAAGTTTCTTGGTTAGCTGTGGCTGCATGTTCCAACTGTATAAGATAAGTTCTTGGTTAGCTGTGGCTGCATGTACCCAACTGTATAAGATAAGTTTCTTGGTTAGCTGTGGCTGCATGTACCCAACTGTATAAGATAAGTTTCTTGGTTAGCTGTGGTTGCATGTACC